GTGGACTACAGCCCACTTCTTCGTGGGCTGTAGTCCACGAAAGCTTATGCTCTAATAAATTTGTTAGTCTCGAAGGTGCCACAAGTACTCCTGTTCTTTTTGCGGATACAGACTAACACGGCTGTTACTCTGATACTTGCCCATGTGAACAAACTGAGGGTAATTTCCCCCAAATGTCTTGGCTCTTACCTCACTTACACCTCATGGTAAGTACATTGTTTCTGTCTCCAAAGTCACTTTTCAAAGTATGAATTAAGCTCCTATGACAGAGCAATCTGTCACAGCAGCAAAACTGTCCTCGTAAATGCCCTAAGCACCAGGCTATGGAGTATTTTGGGGAGGGGTCTTTCAATCTATCCCATTCAAACTGTTCCTCCGTGACTAAGTTAATAACCATTAGGCCTGAAAGAGAACAGGGGGTGTTTAAAACCCAAATATCACCCTCCCCTGAGAGTGGAAGATGTGGGCTCAAATCCCTGCTCCCACATCAGGCGGGGAGGGGGTGTGTGAGAATAGAACTGGCAAGTGCTCCAACCACTAGGCTAAAAGCTAAGGGAAGCACCATGAACTCCTTCTCTGGCACAAGTGGTTTTGGGGAATGGGGTGGAGGAGGGTTAAGTAACAGCTGAGGCACCTAACTCCCTTTAACAGATGGGAGACAGGCCAGTCCTCGCTTACAGACAGCCCCCAAACCAGAAGCAAATACTCACCAACAACTACACACCCCACACAAAAAACACCAACCCAGGAACCAATCCCTGCAACAAACCCTATTGCCAACTCTGTCCGCATATCTATTCAAGGGACACCATCATAGGGCCCAATCACATCAGCCACAGCCAGGGGCGGCTCTATGTTTTTTGCCACCCCAAGCACGGCGGGCAGGCGGCTTTCCGCGGCACGCCTGCGGGAGGTCCGCTGGTAACGTGGATTCGGCAGCATGCCTGCTGGAGGTCCGCCGGTCCTGTGGCTTCGGTGTACCCGCCGCCGAATTGCCACAGAAGCCGCGGGACCAGCGGACCTCCTGCAGGCATGCCGCCGAAGGCAGCCTGACTGCCACCTTCACAGCGACCGGCAGGCCACCCCTCGCGGCTTGCCACCCCAGGCACCCACTTGCTGCGCTGGTGCCTGGAGCCACCCCTGGCCACACCATCAGGGGCTCATTCACCTGCACATCTACTAATGTGATATATGCCATCATGTGCCAGCAATGCCCCT